AGATAGATAGATAGATAGACAGACAGATTAAAATGAAGCAAAAAAATATGAAGCAGCTTAACTACTGAAATTTAAAGTTTGCATCCATTCTGAAATATATTACAATAGAAAACTGTATAACCTGTAAAAAAAACCCATCAATTTTAAACATCAATTTCATATCTTTTGCTCATGCTCGCGTCTTTTTTCTGCGTCCATGACTGTAAAGCTGTGATGATTGTGTGTCTGTGTTCTCATGCAGACATGTACAGGCTGGAGCTGGTTGGTGGTCTGGGTGCCATCATGCTGATATTGGGGATCTTCACAGCCATCTATAAGTGCTATAATGTGGAGATCATGCTGTGCTATCGACAACACTTCGGCAGCGACGAGGCAGATGATGGTACGTAATAATAACTTTAACGATAATAATAACAATTTATTTTCCTAATTGGAAATATTGTGGGTGCAACATCTAGTTCATGACATGCAGCTGTTGGTTTTTTCTACTGTAATGATGGATCGGGGTCCTGAACAGATGACTCTTAATAGCAGAAGTGCAAAAACAAGGCCTTAATGCAATGCATTCTTTTTACCCTACAAACATGCATAAAATACATATGTCATAACATAAACAGTTACCTATATAAACACCAAAATAAATGCAATTTAATATATATACGATGTATTATTTTACATCTCATTACTTTCACCTTATCAACATGTTCTTCTCATATTTTCCTTAGCATTACTTTTTATTAAGTTACTCTTCTGAATTGAATAATTCAGTTCATGCTTATTTGTGTAGCGCTTTTCAGGTTATAAATCGTTGCAAAGCAGCTTCACAGAAAATGAAAGTTTTAGGATATTTAGGAGTAGCTTATCAGTGATGTCGAGGTGATGTCCATATGGCAGAAATGTACATGCATACATGTTAGTTAATGACATGCATTCAAACAAACGATGAACACTATTAACAGCAATGATTATATGTTGTGATCAAACTTATAGGAAACTTTGGTAGTTTTGTATGTTGTTCAGGGTTGGCGTCATCTGAGGTCCTCGGAGAGGTTCTTCTATATATTTCTTTTATATATTCTTTTACATTACCCTTATCAACTCGTTCATTTACATTACTCCAAATGTTTGAACTGCAAGTAACACTCCTTTGTTTTTGTTTTATTATTATTTAATCAACAACCAAGTGTTGTAATGCAAAATGCTTTTAGTAATACTTATTTCAAAACACATTCAAATGTTTATAATCCAAACCGATTTCATAAGGTCACATATGTAACCCAGTTCCCTGAGAAGACGCTGTGTCCTGGTGTTGATGCTGTGGGAACACTTCTGTGTGACTGCTGTCTGAAGCACGTGTGGAAACACATCAGTCTTGATTGGCTGAACATGTTTTATGACATTCAGAGACAGACATTTTATGACAATAATAATTCATGTATAATGTATAATATGTTGAAAGGATTAACCTGTGCAATACAACATATCTGTTCCCTACAGACAACAAGGAATATGACGCCTACCTGTCTTACACCAAAGTGGACTTTGAGTCGGTGGAGCGTGAGATGAGCGAGGAGGAGCTGTTTGCTCTGGAGATCTTACCTGACGTTCTGGAGAAACACTACGGATATAAACTCTTCATCCCGCACCGGGACCTCATTCCCAGCAGCAGTAAGAACAACACCTGACATTCACATGCTCACATGGAGCAAAACAAACAGCAGTAGAAGCTTGTTTTGAGTGCTCAGTGTTCATGATGTGTAAGTGTATTTTTAATCAGAGTGCAAATATCCCGTCTTGTTAGCAGAGGCTATTTACATTACAGAAGACACCCCTTAAAGGGGACATTGGATGCCCATTTTCCATAAGTTGGTATGACTCTTTAGCAGGCCCGGACTAGTCATCGGGAGAATTTATATTATTGCCTGTCACATGTACCAAAGTGATTATTGCCGAGTTTGACATTCAAAAATAAATTGCACTGCGATTCTGTCGAATTAAATTAAATTAAATTACAACAAGAACATATTGCCCTAATGTAATACTTTGAATTTAAAGGGGTCATATGATGTTGCTAAAAAGAACATTATTTGGTGTATTAGGTGTAATGAAATGTGTTTATGTGGTTTAAGGTTCAAAAAACACATTATTTTCCACATACTGTACATTATTGTTTCTCCTCTATGCCCCGCCTTTCTGAAACGCGTCGATTTTTACAAAGCTCATCGTTCTGAAAAGCGAGGTGTGCTGTGATTGGCCAGCTATCCAGTGCGTTGTGATTGGTCGAATACCTCAAGCGTGTGACGGAAATGTTACGCTCCTTACCAGGTTAAGGAAACTTTCCTCCATAAAATGTGCTGCACACATCTGAATATTTGGGTTGAAGTGTTCTGGAACAGTGTTGTAAATACAACTTAACCACTGATTTCTAGTTGTGTCCTCTTTTGGAAGGCCAAACAAAGTAGTTTCGCTTTCACAACGAAGCACACAGCGTCTTCACGACATGACGGCGGCAGCAACAATACTACAGCGAGAATAAAAGTTACGCCTTCTTTCTTTGCATGAACATTTGGGCGTGTTATGCAAATTTGCATAACTTGAAACTTGAAATCGCGTCGTATGACCCCTTTAACTAAAATAAATGTAGATTTTGTGCAAACAAATTACAATCAGGTGGCTGTTTTTCAACAAGGTGGAGACAGTTCCGTTCATAACAGTAGACCTGCTGGTGAAGAAGTGACAGGTACAAGAAAAATAGCCAAAATAATAATCATAATAAAAGTACACACATAAACAGAAGTGAGAAAACGAGATATCAAGGAAAATTAAGAAACTGAAAAGGGAAGGTGCCGTGCGAGAGAGAACCTTTAATTACTTTGCACAGCCCGAGCCTAAGGATTTAGACATTTTTTATGTATAAATTGTTGTGAGTGTATAGCAGGAGTGTCTAAACTCAGTCCTGGAGGTCCACTGTCCTGCAGAGTTCGGCTCCAACCCCAATTAAACTCACCTGAACATCTAATCAAGTTCTTACTAGGCATACTAGACACTTCCAGGCAGGTGTGTTGAGGTGAGCTGGAGCTGAGCTCTGCAGGACACCGGCCCTCCAGGACCTGTTTGGACACCCCTGGTGTATAGGATGCCATCTACTATTTACACTTTTTGCAAAGAAAATTCTGCTACTTTTACATAGTGTAATAGAATGTATCGTAATTTGCACTTAGTGTAAATAGCCGCTGCCATTTTTAATATGAATCAAAGAAGCAACTCCCTCTCAGTTCATGAATGTGAATTTAACCGGCACACGTCCGATGCTGCCGGAGTCATAGGATAAGGAATGTGTTTCTGCTTTCTAACTGCAGCTCTACATTCATCATATAATCAATTCTAGAGTGCTGGAAAGATGTGTGAGGGATAATTTAATCCCAAAATACTCACCGATAGGCTGACCAATGGCCTGTACCAAACATCAAAATGTTGCCTTGACAAAACCCAGCAAATCCAACCCAGCTCGATTAGTACCACTGCACGCATTACACATTTTTATCAACTCATGGCAGATCCTGAGCGTGTGCTTAGTCCACAATCGCATGACGTCTGACATCTGCAGCAAACAGAGAGTCATGTGAAACAGGAAGAGGCAGTGCCATTCACGTCCTGTGAGCGATGCACTTCTCAGATGATGATGAAGGATTGCCATAAACAATATGAAGAGTTGAGACACATTTAACAGCCACAGAAGCTTCAGGACTGCGATTAAACTTTACCTCATGTAAACTCAACATGTCGACCAAGCAATATGTCGATGCAATTGAATTCCTAAAGCACAGTTGTAGTAAAATATGTGGCGTATAATGATTTTAATCTTGATAAACAAGCATGTAAACACTTTAATTGCACCTATTCCACTCTGACCAAAGAGCGCGTGTGCTTGTGATGATCATGGATGACGTGTGACGCTCCTGCAGTGATGCATACATTTGTAAACATGCCATTAAAGAAGGCTTCACGCTTTTGGCTGCTGAAGAAACATGTGGACAACGTTGCACGACATGAATGTAATGCAGTACATTGATGACTGAAAACATGGAAATGTGTATGTTAATGATGGCGGTGAAGATAACCACAATGTGAGTGCAGAGGTTTGCTCGCGTCCTGTAAACATCTCACTGCGGTTACTCTGAGTAAGTAATCACTTTCTATATTAGGTTTTCTCTTTCACTCTGTAGCATATGTTCCTAAGTAGTGATGGCTGTAGCCATTAAAACCTGTTTCATAGCACAGGCCTCAGGACTGGAAGCACATTGCAGAAAATAATAAGCAGCATAATGTGCAGTTAGCACAAAACGAATATAAAGCATCACCCTGATGAGGATTCTTTCATGGTTATTACACAGCTCCCTGTCAAATGCTGTAAATAAATACATGAAAATGAACTACTTGTCACAGCGTCACCAGGCTCCACCATCATTCCCTCACAACTACTGACTACAGCTGAATCCTTTATTTATTGATGTATTTATTTATTTTTTAACAAGCTCACCTGTAGAGACCACAAAGCACAGCTATGCAGGAAACCTGGATTCCCAGAGGATCCGTCAGTTATATTGACCTGGTCGATGCTTATTGTTCAGAAATATTTGACCATTAAGAATCAAATACTCCAGAGAGCTGTGTGATATATGAACATTAGCACACGTTCTGTTCATTATTGCTTCTTAATTTGATCAGCTGGGGTAAACCATGCTTCCTGCATTATGTAACAGCATCCAGGATCCTCCATCCCTTACGCAGTAAATATGAATGCAAAACTCAAAAAGCAACAATACTGACTGACACCCAAAATATTGTACAGCTCTGGAAAAAGTTAAAGAGACCACTGCAAAATTATCAGTTGCTCTGGTTTCACTATTTATAGGTATGTGTTTGAGTAAAACTAACATTTTTGTTTTATTCTATAAACTACTGACAGCATTCCTCCCAATTCCCAAATAAACATATAGTCATTTAGAGCATTTATTTGGTCAACATAACAAAAAAGATGCAGTGTTCTCAGACCACAAATAATGCCAAGAAAACAAGTTCACATTCATTTTTTAAACACAATACTAATGTTTTAACTTCAATATTTGGTGGAATCACCCTGATCTTCAATCACAGCTTTCATGCATCTTTCACGCTCTCCACCGGTCTTCACATTGATGTTGAGTGACTTTATGCCACTCTTTGAGCAAAACTCAAGCAGCTCGGCTTTGTTTGACGGCTTGTGACCCTCCATCTCCCTCTTGATCACATTCCAGAGGTGTTCAGTGGGGTTCAGGTCTGGAGATTGGGCTGGCCATGACAGGTCTTGATCTGGAGCTCCTCCATCCACACCTTGATTGACCAGGCTGTGTGTCACAGATCATTGTCCTGCTGGAGAAACCAATCCTCAGAGCTGGGGAACACTTTCAGAGCAGAAGGAAGCAAGTTTTCTTCTGTATGTGGCTTGATTCATGCGTCCTTCACAAAGACAAATGTGCCTGAATCCAGCCTTGCTGAAGCCCCAGATCATCACCGATCCTCCAGCAGATTTCACAGTGGGTAAGAGAAACTGTGGCTTGTAGGCCTCTCCAGGTCTCCGTCTAACCATTAGACGAGCAGGTGTTGGGCAGAGCTGAAAACTGGACTCATCAGAGAAGATGAACTCACTCCAGTCCTCTACACTCCAGTCCTTCTGCTCTTCTGCAAACCTCAGCCTGGTTCTTCTGTGCTTCTCATCGATGAAGGGCTTTTTTCTAGCTTTGCCTCTAGGAGTCTTCACCCCATTCTTTCTGCAGGTCACTTGATGTCGTCCTATGGTTGTTGAGTGACATTCGAATGAGTTGGTGGTCAGTGTCCCGGTCAGTGGAGAGTGGTTTTCACCCGCTGCTGGTCTGTAGATTTGTTCTCCTCAGCTTCAGCTTCTTCTTCGTGCTAGCACTGTTTGTGCCATCCAGCTGGTCCTGTTGCAAGAAGATAGTGATAAGCACAGCAGTGGATTTTACACTTTTCCTCCTCAAATCAGATTTGGTTGAGGTGATCACCTAATCAGAATGGAACGGCTGCCATACATGAAGAGATGCTGATTTAAGAAACATTTAGAGTGCTCTCTTAACTTTTTCCAGAGCTGTATGTACTGTATGCACAGTGCTGGAGTGTGGTTGTCAGGCTGTGTGTGTGAGATACAGCTTCTGAGGTGTTAAGGTGCTAAGGTGTTTTTAACACATTGCTAACCAGCTGTCTATCACCTGTCCATGGTATTGTTTTGCTTGTTTCTTTGTCCATCAGACATCATTCTAAGGTTAGATCTTGTAGAAAACTTCAACTGGATGTATATGAAGTTTCTTCATTCATGTCTGTGGCAAAAATAGAGCAGAACGAACCCCTAAATACAACCCATTGTTGGGGAAAGTTACTTTTAAAAGCAGTGCATTACAATATTGTGTTACTTCCCTAAAAAAAGTAAGTAATTGCGTTAGTTACTTTTTATGAAAAGTAATGCATTACATTACGTTTGCATTACTTTTTCTCATCTGGGCTGGGCTTGCTTGTTTGTTTTCAATACAAAAGAGTTCTATTTTTGGCAAATGTAAAATCCCTTTCACACCAAAAGTGAAATGAACGAGTCTCAGATAGATTAGAATGCAGGAGAAGAAAGTCCAACACTCTTCAGGAATAAAATAAATAAATAAATAAATGAAACACAAATGTTTATCTAAGGTCATTTTTGCTTATTCGTAAGGTTGAATTGGATGATCAAAGGTCAGCAGCAGCAAAGACACTGGTTAATAAAATGTGATTAAATACATAAAAGATATTTGTGTTATTTAACATATTTAATTATTGCAGGCTTGCGTCATATTCTGAGTTTGCATTTCCCTGTTTTTACTCATTTTGAGGAATACTGAATGTGTTTTTGTGCAGGTGAGATGAATAAATGCATGTTCTCATTTAGTCTAGAACTACAGTAACATCATGTTCACACAGCGCACACAACGCATCTGCACTCACTCCTGATTCTCTCATCATGAGGACAGGAGAGCCGTCAGTCAGTACATGAGGAAACAAAGCAACTGGTGTTACTTATTTGAAAAAGTAACTCAGATATTGTCTTGTAAATTAAAAAAAACTAGTGCATTACTTTACTAGTTACTTGAAAAAAGTCATCTGATTACGCAACTCGCGTTCCTTGAAATGCGTTACGCCCAACACTGATACAACCTATATTTAGCTGTCAATGCTTTGCACAAACAACGGAAAGCTCTAAAAGCAGATGATAGTTGTCACTCTTTCTGAAGAGTCTGTGTTTGCTGGTGTGTCACATCCGTCTCTCTCTGTGTCTCTAGCGTACATCGAGGACCTGGCGCGCAGCGTGGAGCAGAGCAGGCGTCTCATCATCGTCTTGACCCCTGAGTTCGTGGCCCGCCGTGGCTGGAGCATCTTCCAGTTCGAGCCGCGGCTGCACAGCATGCTGGTGACAGGCGAAATCAAGGTGATCATGATCGAATGCTCGGACCTGTGCAGCGTCATCAACTACCAGGAGCTGGAGGACCTCAAGCACACCATCCGAGTGCTGTCGCTCATCAAGTGGTACGGGCCCAAGAGCAGCCAGCTCCAATCCAAGTTCTGGAAGCGGGTGCGCTACGAGATGCCTGCGAAGAGAAAAGAGAGCGTGTCCCGCCGACAAGTCCTAGACTCGGGCGAGCAGGGGCTGTTCGGCGACCTGCAGGCCGTGTCGACCGTGGCTATGACCGCCACCTCGGCGTCACTAGCGCCGGCTCACGTGGAGATACCGGACTATAACGAGCCGGGCCACCTGCAGATGCACCACTTCTGCCGCAGCTATGAGTACGAGCTGCCCAGCTCTGCCATCGCCACGCTCAGCGGCCGGCACATGTACTGCAGTCTGCCCATGACGCTGCTGAACGGACGGCTGACACAGAATAACATCGGCAAACCCAAGAGAGACATTCACTTGAGCAGCCCGTTCGTGCCGCTGTCCGGACCAGAGCTTTCCAGTGACATCTGGTAGAGCGGCTCCGCCAAACACAGCTTCGCCGATCTCATCCTTCCTTCCTTTTGACCTGCATGAGTTCATCTTGTTAAGATTTAAAAAATAATACATAATGGTTTATCTGGCTCTCTTCCAGCCTTTAGTGTTTTCATACTTTGTTCCGACATATGAAGAGCTACTGATATTGTTTTCTTACTTGAATTTTGAGGTAATTATGCCATGTACAGTTATTACATCAAACGCTACATCTGCATTGTTTAAAGGGTTTATTTGACATTCTGACTTCGGTTGTTACAGCACAATAATGTAAAGACACATCAACTCTGAGCTTTAAAGAATATTAGGTTCTATTTATGCAAATAATTCCTATTCAAATCTAATAAGCACATTGATATTGTTTGTAGCTAGTCGAGGAGATATTTACATATTTGATACAACTTATTATTTGCCTTATTTCCCGATCGTTTGGCTGTTTTCTTCCTCAGAATTCGGTTTTGATGATGTTTTTCATGCATTATGGAAAGATACATTTAATGGTGTATCTGGTACTACGGAGAAAGCGTTCAGTGCTGGCAGTGATCAAGCACTTTTGATCAATACTGATATGTATTATCATTTTATTGAATTTGTATGCAATGTTGCCCTCTAGAATGATAGATCACTAAAATCAGTGAGTGGATTTTGTATACTCACGACTAGTATGTCCTTTTACTCTTCAGATACAGTCATGTGTGGAAGAGTATGAATATCCGAGCTGTTATTTAACAAATTCTCACAAACCAAGCAGCTTGTCTGATTCACAGGTTTGTGGGTTTAGCCTATAAATAATTTGTAATATACCTTTCAAAAATAATAATTGTCATCAGACCAACAAAATAAATAAATATACGAGTAATTGACTCTGAGAGATGCCTTTTTTCATTTTTATTTTGTTGTATGTGATGAAACTGACCATAAAGGTGGCAGAATGTTTACAAGGGCCAGCTTTGTGGCTGAAGCAAACTCTGATAAGCAGAGATGGGAACCTTTGTTTTGTTGCAGGCAGAGGAAGGCGCAGCTTTTCACTTTTTACTGGTCTTCCGGGTTTCCTGTGTTTGTCCCGAGAAACGCCAAATCCTACTAAAGCGAAGGAATACCTAATGAATATTAATTAGATCGAGAGGCTGCTCCAAAGAGCGTCCAGGAACACGAGCTCATTAATATATATCAGCCGAGAGCGCGCTGCGACGCGATTGGCTAATCCGCCGTGTGAGAAACGCCTACTAACAACAACCCTTCAGCTCAGTTCCCACTGCTGGCAGAGAGGTCCGTTATGTCGTTCAGATCCCTCGCTATAGTAGCATTAGATGCGCTGAAGATGAGCAGACATACTGTTCCTCGAGCCATGATCAGTTAGGAAACTCTGAACCCGGTGGACGAGCTGAGGGAAATGGCGAGAGACTTCACCACAACGAGTCTGAGTAACATCGACCTCGCCTCTTTACGGGTGAGTCCGGTCTGCTCTGTTTTCAGCGCTTTGGTATCTTTGCAACTGCAGCGGTCGGTCGAAGTTTCTGTCAGTGATTTACAGCGAGACGAACTTTGCTCTGAATGTCATTTAAAGCTCGCGAAACTCGTTTAGATGCGCTTGCTTCACTTGTCAGTCATGTGTGATGGTCTAGATGTGTGCATCAAACCCCAGTGTCTTCATCTGACCCTTTATTTCAGGATCCTGCAGGGATCTTCGAGCTCATCGAGGTGGTCGGCAACGGGACCTATGGACAGGTTTACAAGGTTTGTGCTGGAAACTCATGCTATTTAGTGAAACACGCTGGTTTTGTGTCTCCAGGGCCGGGCTGGTTCTCCAGCAGCAGTGCCATCAACGGTTCTGCTACTGAAACCTGCAAGTGTGGTTTTGGTGTCTGACAGTCTCTGGGTGGAGCTCACTTCCTCATGAAGGTCAGAGCGTGTTTCACATCAATATCGGATCTTTAAACATCCTGTGAGATGTGTGACACCCTCATGTGGATCATCTTGCGCAAGTAAAAGCAGCACAGTGTAGGTTAGGACAGCCTTAGGATTCCTGTTTCGGGATTTTATACTGTAACAGTGCATCATATAAGACTCATCGTTTTATCCGTGCTGCTGCATGACACAGAGATCCCTGATACACAGATTAAACCCATCCATTAAAGGGACGGCTCACACAAAAATGAGAATCCTGTCATCATTTACTCATACTGATTGAGTTTTTTCTTCTGTTGAATACAAAAGAAAGTATTTTGAATGTTGGTCCCCATTGACTTCCATAGTACCCCCCCCCCCCCCCCCCCCCTTCTTTTTATGAAAGATGTAATAAGTTCGTATAGGTTTGGAATAACATGAAAGTGAGTAAATGATGACATGGTTTTCATTTTTGGGTGAACTGTCCCTTTAAGAAAGTTATTTGCAATTATTTAAATCATTTTCAGTCTAGAGATATTGCATTCTAAATCAAGGAATCTGCTTGGGCAGCATAATACAGTATTTCGTGATTTGCCAAGTGGTGAAATATCCGTTCTGATTATTAGTAGTAATTGCAGAGCTAGTTCTGCATTCCGATGTTTCTTACACACGTTTGTTTCCTCATGTATGAGGCAATACAGATCCAATGCACCTCAAGTGTAGTGTGCTTTCACTGTTACCACATCTTTAAAATCCACATGAAACGGAAATTGCGACCGGCTTTTCTTCTCTCTTGTGACATCATGCATGCAAACTCGTCGAAAAGTGGCGTAATTCACCGCTCTGACACCGAGACGCTCCAATAACGACGATTCGTGCCGATCTGAGGAAGAGCAGACTGTCTTCAGAAAAGTCTCCGATGGCATTTTCTTTTCATCTCAACCCTGTATTAAGCCTAAAAGTGCAGGGCTAAAAGCTGGACTTGCAGTAAGCGCCACCTACTGTCAGAGACTGAACTTGCACTCCTACTCCGACTATATGGGTGAAATATGAGTTCGCATGAGTATCAGTCTATTCAGTCATAGTTAGTCACTGATAGAGCACAGTCAAAAACAATCAACTTTAAGTTCCTTTTTTCCACACTTGCTCCTGAGATCTGAACTTTTCAACAGGATTCATCAGAGAACTGCTTTGTCTGGAGTATAATCCCGCCGTCACCCTTTTAGACAGCGCTTCCTGTTTATGTCCTAGTCGTTTGATACAATGTGGCGCTTCGCAGGCATCCTGGAGAACACGAGGAAATCCCCTCCGACAGAAATACCATCTGAAGCCTGCTGCTCAAAACTCAGTGCACCTAGAATTAATTTGGTGTATACCTCCGGTGTGCATGAACACTTACAGCTGTTGACCCAGAATGCTTTTCTAAAGCGTGGTGCGCGGCGGGATGATTGTCATTGTGCACTTGTGTAGATGTGTGTTAAAGAGGCCGCTTCCTCTGCTGATGTGTGTCTGAGCCGTGATTCACAAACACTCGCTCATCCAGTCAGTTGCATCATGGCTGGCGTTCAGTCGTCCAGTGCTGAGTGACCCATTTCCAGAGATCCGTGTTACGGCATGAAGAACGGGGAGCCGCCCGTCTGATCATCAGCCTCTTAAAGCGGTAGTTCACCCAAAAATGTCAATTCAGGCATCATTTATGCACTTTCCTCCTTCTGCATTAAACATCCATCCAAACAGATGGTTACCAAAAGGGTTTCATTCTTCAAAATACCTTCTTTTGTGTTCTGCAGAAGAAAGAATGTCATACAGGTTTGAAACAGCATGAGACATCCATGACATTTTTGGATGAACTGTCTCTTTAAGTGGGAAGTAGCATTGTCAGAAGTACGGATGTCGGTACTGAAATTTTAAAAATGTGACGATACCAGCTTTTCCCGCGAGTGCTGTTGAGCTGGTTCTTAAACGGCTCAATGATCACAGATTACACGGATACACACGAGAACACAATGGCCAATCAGAGCTGTTTGAGAATCCGCTCAAAATGCTCGTGGGAAATGCTGGTGTCGTCACATTTTTAAAATTTCAGTACAGGCATCGGTACTTTTGACAACCCTAGTGGGAAGCATCATAGACACTGTTCAAAATTTAAGGGAACACTTAAATCACACATTGGATCTCCATGAGCAAAATATTAAAGTTGAAATTGTTTTCAACATAATGACGTGACAATGGTCAGTGGTAACCAAAATCATCAACCTGCTGAGGTCTGGATTCAGAATAACACCGAAATTCAAAGTAAAAACTGAAGTTACAGGCTGATCAAACTTGCATGACTTTCGTCACAGCAGCTCATAGTGTAAGTCATTGGTGTGTTTGACCCCCGTGTGCCTGGATGAACTCCTGACAACATCTAGACGTGCTCCTGATGAGATGATCTCCTGCCAGACCTGGATCAGGCCATCAGTGAGCTCCTGGACAGTCTGTGGTGCCTTGTCTTGCGGTTGTCTCTCCAATGTACCTGTTGTGACTTTCATTGAAAGTGATTCACTTTTGTTTCCTAACTGGACAGACTGATCTCCCTGGAGTTCAACTGACTCGGTGTTTCCTGTGTTCCCTTAACTTTTTGAACAGTGTTTTAGCATGTCTCCAAGGCCCAGTTCCACCTGGTATGAAGAAGGTTTTGATCACAGATCGGATCACACATCACCGTTTACAGCTGCGAGTAACTAGAGTCTCCCCTGAAAACTGCTGACTGGATTTCAAGGGGATCATCTCTAATTCTGCGACTGCATGTATGACACTGTCACTGTGCCGCTGTGTGTTGATGAAGCTCAGAAATAAATAAAAGACAACACAAGAAACAAAATAAGCAGGCGTGTATGTACATCAGATTATAGATCAGAAGATCAGTGAAGCCAAGCCTCATTTGTTTCTATAGTGCTTTGTACAGTACAGATTCAAGCTTCAAGGGATAGACAGAAAAAAACAACAGTGTTAAAGTTGCAAACTCCATCAATTACTAAACTAATTAGATTTCAGGTGTAAAGGAGCTCTACATAAAACAATAGTTTCATTATTCAGCTCAAGTCATGACTGTTTAAATGTGCCTTCACAGTGTGATTATAATGAGATTTAGGCAATATTGTGAGTAGACTTCACCTCATGTAAACACCATACTTTGGATCAAAGTGATGTTATGAAGATAAAAAGTGTCTCACACAGCGTACGACAGTTAGCAGAAGAGTTAAGAGTTTTAAATATGGATATTTTTCTTACAAAAACTCATTGATTCAGTACAGGATGTGTGGGACACTTTTTATGATGGATGGATGCGCTTTATTGGACTTCTTTTGGACTATTGAAAAATCAGGACTATTGAAAAAAAAAAACATTCACTGCTATTATAAAGCTTGGAAGAGCCAGGACATTTTTTAATATAACTCTGATTGGATTCGTCTGAAAGAAGGAAGTCATACACACCTAGGATGGCTTGAGGGTGAATAAATCATGGGCTAATTTTCATTTTTGGGTGAACTGTCCCTTTAACAATTGTATCTTATTATTAGACAGACATTTATCCGTATCAGACAGCATGACGACAGCAAACAATCAAGTGGGAGAATGTGAGCGCTGTGTGCTCATGCGCGGCCGTGCTCAGCGCTGTCAAAATAAAAGTCCTCGAACACATCGGACAAACAGGAAAACTTATCGGCCGATGCCGATATTTGAAAAAAAATGGCAAATATCAGCTGATATATCGGTCGACCACTACTTGTGATGTGCTGTCAAAATAAAAGTCCTCGAACACATCGGACAAACAGGAAAACTTATCGGCCGATGCCGATATTTGAAAAAAAAATGGCAAATATCAGCTGATATATCGGTCGACCACTACTTGTGATGAACGCGGATGAGGTGTGACGCTCCTGCAGTGATGCACACATTCATACACATGGCTATAAAGCAGCACACCTCACTGCCAGCAGCCTCTGCTCTTACCTTCATCCAGAGACGGCATTACATCACATGTGGAGCGGATCTTCATCACGGCACTCAAAACCCATCCAGTCCATCCACTGAAGTGTGATTAAAACACGCTGCTGCACTTCTCCAGTTCTTTCATGGCTCCAGTCGGGGTTAAAAATAGACAAGCTCAAATGTTTTGGCAACACGGTATAAATATATGTCACCACATGGAGCTCTGTTGTGAAAATAATAATAATAATAAAAATAAAACATGATGCTATGGGATGAGAACAAAACCTGTCTGAACTGAATAATGACACTCTTTTGTTGTTAGAGCTGCTTTATAGCAGAATTGGGACTTGCTTCATTTTTGATGAAGTTTGCGTCAATGACTCTTTTATTTCCCTGTTTATTACTTGAAGCTGCTTGGAAACAATCTCCACTGGATAAAGTGCTTTAGAAATAAATGTGGCTTGACTGAGCGAAGCCCAGTTTAGCATGGCAGCAGTCAGAAGTAAATGATTTCCTCTTTTGCTGTGTGATTATATTGTTGTCATAATAGACAGCAGCGTGTCTGTCTGGCTGTTTACACTGCTGATGCACAGACGCATGTCTATAGCCACTCGAGACACAGCTGACATTCACTTCTGGAGATGTGTGTGTTGAGCTGAATGATTTCTGAATAAACGCCAGGGCAGGAGCACTGCTGAAACCAGATTTTGTAAGAATGATGGAGAAACTGCTCATCATCTTCCAGTCGCCAGGCACTAACCACAAATACACCACTTTCTTAATTCCTCAAATAACTATCGCAAATATGTAACACACAGGAAGTGACATCGTTTGTACCCTTTGTACAGTATGATGGGAAGACAAGTTGTGATCACACTCCATTTATCAATATTTACACAAATTGTAGTGTTGACTATGTTTGAAAAACTTTAGTCTTTAACTTTAGTGACTTTCAGGTCCTGTTTAGTATTCTTCAGTATTCATGTCAATGTATAAAGTATGATCTTTTCTATAATACTTTATATGATATATTTTACATTTACATTTAGTCATTTTGCAGATGCTTTTATCCAAAGCAACTTACAATTGGGGAATACGTAAAGCGATTCTTCTTAAAGAGGCAAACAGACACAGGAAGTGCTAGGCATTGTTCAAATAAGTACAAGCTAGAAAGGAAAGGAATAAATAAAGAGAAAGACAAAGGTTTTTTTTTTTAGGATGAAGTCAAGTAGCGTCGAAAGAGATGAGTTTTCAGCTGTCGCTTGAAAATTGTCAGGGATTCAGCATTCCGGATAGGGGTGGGAAGATCATTCCACCAGCCAGGAATGGTGAACGAGAATGTTCTGGAAAGTGATTTTGAGC